AAGAAGGGCACGGTTGTTAGCTCAGGGCCAGGCTTCCTCAGCAAAAAAGAGGAGGACTGGCAGTAGTTAGCTCAGGGCTAATCTTCCTCAAAAAAAAAAAAAAAAAACAGATCAACAATTCAAAGATGGTATTACTTCTACTTTATCAATGTAGAAAAGGAGGCACAGAGAAGCTAAGAAACTTGTCCAAGGTCACACAGCTAGTAAATAACAGAAAGGATATTCCAACAGGTGTAATTGTTGCCCTCAATCGGTAAGTGAAATTTATTGGAATTGAGATCAACATTTCTCTGCCGTTTCACAGACTCCTGGGATGGGTGAAGATCTTTAGCATCCTCTAATGCAGTGTTTTCTTCCTTCTTTCTTTCTTTGTTTTTTTTATGGTAAACTGATTATAAGAAATACATTTTATATCACAACCCTACACCCACTGCCACACACACATACCCAAAGAATGGAAAGAAAGAATGTGAAACAAAGGTTTCACAAGGCAATAGTTGCTTTTATAGGTGCAATATAGTCCAATCTTGGATTCAAGGCTATTTCATTCTTTAAAATTCTGCTTCTACCCACTAGACTGATTTTGCAACCCGCTTTTGCACCTGACTTGCAGCTTCAACAACCCTGCTCTATTGAGAACGCGGCTTAAACTGACACCAGTTTGCATGTCTGAGTGTTTGTAAAAGGAGGCAGGGCCAAGCTGGATCTTTTAAGGCTCATAATAATGATTTGTTTACTTGTACAATGTGTGTTTCCTAGGCCACACCAGCCTGAGGGGAAAACTGGGATCAGAACCCCAGCACAGACTGTTCCTCTCTCTCTCTCTCTGGTTTCAACGGCTCTCCCAGAATCGCCAGCCCCTCCACAAAGACCCTTCCAGTTTCGGAGGATGCCCAGGGAACGTCGCACATGTGCTCTCAAACACCACGCCGTATCCCTCTTTTCCCTTCTCTTCTGCTCCAGCTCCCTGCTGGGGTCACTTGCCAGTTCCTCTGATGTCTGTAAGCTGTCACTGCTGCTGGGTCACTAAGGTCAAGCTGCTTCTGGTGGAAAATCCAGTGACTTTGGTGATGTCTGAGCCATGGGCCTGGATGGGGACGCTGTTGGTCTCACATCTCTACAGCTGCTCCTGGTGCCACAACTCTGTGTGTAGTTCCTCATGGCACCCACTGGAATGCCATGGTGCCCACTGAACTAGGGACAACACCCTTTGTTAGAGGGATCTCAAAGTAGATTGCTCTTACCCCTTCTAACTTACACGCGTTCAGTTCAAGGGCGGTGGGCTGCAAAATCGTCTGTCTTGTGTTCATAACCACCTTCTTTCCCCCAGCTCTGGATCTTGTCCTTGAACAGAGCTTGGGTGCTCCTGCTCTCACCGCAACTGGTGAGTTTTTCTTTCCCAGGAGGCTCCTTGGTTCCTTCATGTGAATAGACTCTTGGCAAGGCCACAGTCTGTCATCCTGCCCAGAAGAGCCAGCTTCCTAGAGGGAACACAGACTTAAGCTAAACCCATTTATATTTGAGAGCTTTGCTTCCCAGGTAACAGGAGTCACATGTTCAGAATTCAAGTCCTGTTGCAACAATGACGATGATGACGACGACGATAAATCCGTCCCATATATCAGACCTCACGCTAAGCACTTTAAATACATTATTGTATTTAATTCTCTTAACAGCTCAACATAATATTTACTATCATTATCCTCCTTTTACAGAGGAAAAATTGTGGCCTGGAAAGGTTGAATAACTAGCCCAAGGTCACACGACGGGCAAAGTACAGAGCCAGACCCAGGCTCACTCAGCTACTCTTCCACAGCTGGGTCTGGGCAGTGAGGCTGCCTTCCGTCCCCTGGCCTCCTCCCAGGTCTGCTTTCATCCTTCCTAAGCCCCTCTCCCAAGGGCCCCCACCGTAATCCACAGATGGGTTGCCAAACCTTATCTAACAGCCTCCAGGTTGATGGAAACCCCTCAGCTTCCATCCTCCCACTTCCCACATCCTCTCTGTGCCCTACCAGAGCTTCCCAAAGGAGGAGACACGGGGAAGGGAAGCTTTGTCAGCGAAAGAGCCCTCTCCCTCTAGACCCCTCTAGACTTAAATATAACAACCAGCCCTCCTGTCCGTAGCCCCCTCCTCAGAGCCAATTCCAGAGCCCGGAAGCGGTTTCTCCTCCCTAAAAAACCGTCAGCATTCTGTATTACACGGTTAAAATTTTGCCCTATCTTAGTGGGTGTTTTAATTGAATAGGGAATTCAAGTCTCGGCTTTAAATGCCATAGAAAAAGAAAAAGTTACTGTCTTTTCAGAATGGCCATTGTAATTTGTCCTAGAGTGCCCCTCTCCATGGTCCTTTTGCCACTTGAACTGGCAAGTTGAACTGCCAGATAAATACAGCCGCAAAGTGAATAGTTATGGATATGATTTCTCTCCCTTATTCATTTGCCCTCCCAGCTTAACCAAGTCAGAAATGAAAGACGGCTCACCCTTCCTTTGTGTCTACAGAGCACAAAGCCAAGACGTTATCAAGGAATCTTGATAATCTGATACATTTAAAAGTGAATTATCCTGGGGGCTGGCCCCATGGCCGAGTGGTTAAGTCTGTGCGCTCTGCTGCAGGCGGCCCAGTGTTTCGTTGGTTCGAGTCCTGGGCACGGACATGGCACTGCTCATCAAACCACGCTGAGGCAGCATCCCACATGCCACAACTAGAAGGACCCACAACGAAGAATACACAACTATGTACTGGGGGGCTTTGGGGAGAAAAAGGAAAAAGTAAAATCTTTAAAAAAAAAAGTGAATTATCCTGTTTGACTCCACCATTCATTTTAGGCAAGTATCTGCCAGTGTCACCCCATGCAGAGTGCTGGCTCTGCTACCAGCCATCGGTATGACCTCTCAGCACCTCAGTTTTCCCTTCTGTAACATCCAGGGATTGGATCCGAGAACTCTGAGGTCCCTGTAAGTTCTCAGGGTCTTTATTTTATAGTTACAGAATGCATCATTTACAAGTCAGATAACAGGGGGTAGATGATTGTTTGAATGAAAACATTCCTCTATAAAATTTTCACCACATAATTATTTTATGGAGCAAGTTTCCACCATGCATTTGAAGCAGGATTCAATTTACAGAAACCTGACTTGCAGCCAACCTTTAAGTGACACTTTTACTGTTTCAAGTGGGGCTCGCCTGTAGGTCACGGTGGCTTCTATAAACGCTAGGATATAGTCCCTCCCCACACAGAGTCCTTGACAGTGAAGCGTTAGAAGAATCCATTCTAAAATCGTTACATCTCTTGGACTGAGTTTTTTTCTTTTCTGTAAAAAACAACATATTTACATACCCTCCAAAACTGGCTTAATGATACTAATCTATTGGTCTTTTCGAAACAGAAACCAGATTATATCACTCCTCTGCCTAAAACTCTGCAGAGGTGTCCATTGTTCTCTGGGTCATGGCCAGGCCTTGGCAAATGCTATTCACTCCACCTGGAACATTCTCACCAACCCTCTCTCATTCCCCCTTACCTTGGAACTCAGCGCAATCATTACTTCTCCAGGGAATTGTCCTCTGACTGCCTTGACGAGGTCAAATCCCTTTATTGTAAGTCTGAGGTGTGATTTGAAGTTTCCTTGGATGAGCGTGTCCTGACCATGAATAGCCTCTATGCTCTGTTGCTCACGATGCATGCACGACACAGTGCAGGCACTAGATTCACAGCCGGGTCTTCACCCTCCTGGAGCTTACAGTCTTCTGGGTAAGCAGACAATAACCGAATACAACAAGGAACACGCCTGCCACTGCCCTCACCGTATAGAGCTCACAGAGAATTAAACGAGTGATTGGAGTAAGCGTGGGGCACGTTGTGAAAGGAAAAGGTAGACTGTCAACGCATCAAGTTCCCATGTCGGATGAGTGTATGTCACAATCACAAATTTGCTCAAACAATCCTTTTACTGCTTTCAGTCTAAGAAGCTGAAAGTGAAAAGATCGTGGACTGGCGCCCCCTGGCCAACTGTGCCGGATTAAGGGATGGGCACCTTCAGCATGGTGAGAGGACCAAGGTCTATTTTCCGCCTCTTTCTCCATCCTAAGAGTCTTCCCACCCTCTTGGACTATACTGCCTTGCCTCATTGCCAGGGTCTCTTGTTTTTTTCTTCTTTAAAGGAATTTTCTTCCCTAACGGTGCATCCTCTTTCCCATCAAATACAACCGTAACATAGCCTACCATTTTGATTTAATGTTCCTAACGTTCACGGAACATGTATATTATCATCCCCATTTTACAGACAGGGGAATAGATCCAGAGACAATATCAGCTCGTTCATGGCAGAACTGGGACCTCAAAGCTAGGTCTCTGGCTCTTAGTCCAGCATTTTCCCCACCCAATCTCAGCCTCCCAGGCTAAACCAGACTTTTTCCAGGGCACTGGAAGCCAAAGTTGGCTGCCTCCTGCTGGCAGGGAGATCCTTCCAGGCTTCTGGTGCTCCTGCTAACGAAGGGAGAGTACAAGAAGTGAGGAGGGTAGATTATACACAGAGGCAGTCTATGCTTCTATTTCCCTCCCTCATCATGGGAGGAGGGAATGGCTCACACATGGGGGGTGGATTATGAAAATCAATAATTCATGAGTGTTGATAAGTGTCAGAAAAGTATTTATTCATATTCATTCCCTGAAAGTCACATTCTCCATGTGTTCTTGCTTGTCTTTCAACGACGGCATCGGTCAGGTGGACTCAGCAAGAAATAGCAAGGTTTTAGCCAAATGCTGTGGAGGGAGAGAGTTTCATTTAACTTCATTTTTCCAGCCAGGGCTGGCTCCAAAGCTAGTTTTTCTTGCTAGGTTATTTGCCACATGAAAAGCAAATTCCCAGAGGTTTCTGAGATTGCCGAGATCCATGCAAGATGACTGCTCCCACCCACCCGCCCACCCACCCACTAATAAGACATAATGCCGTCCTATTTTTGGTAACAATTAAAGGGCCTCCCGGTGCAAGCAGAAAGCTGTTTATTTTCTGTTACATCACTTCACTTTGCCTTCGAAGGCTGGTCTGTGCTCAGTGTTTTCGTGGTGATGCAAGACGGCTCTCTCCTCCAGCAGTTGGATCCCTCCCATCTCGCAGCACCTCACAGGTCTCTTCCCCGAGCAGTGCATTGCTGGAGCGAGGAGCAGCTCACGAATCAGCTGCAGGTCCCTGTTTTGAAAAGCAGAGATACAGAGGCAAAGGAAAAGGGTGGACTCCTATGTGACCTGGTCTTAGAGCAAGACAATCACCATCTGAATTCCAGAAGCCCTGTTCATGTTTGGGGATATTTTTTCGACTGCATGGAATCAGAGAGAAGCCAAAGGATGGGAAATGCCTGCATCCCCCTGAAAAGAATTGCTTATTTCCTATGTCTCTTATCTGCGCTTTTGCTGACTGAGGGGAAGAAACCAGCGAAGCCAAAATGCCCTGCCGTGTGTACTTGTACCAAAGATAATGCTTTATGTGAGAATGCCAGATCCATTCCACGCACCGTTCCTCCTGATGTTATCTCATTGTAAGGCCCGTAAGCATTTTGATATCTAATTTACGATTTAAAAATTCCAGCCGATGTATTTGGGGCTTTGTATGTATTGGTAGAAGGGCATGGAGAGAGAGATTCCTCTTGCATGCTTGGCCATTTGACAGTGCTAACATTTTGCTGCATTTAGAAATTTTGATTTTTTTCTTAGCTGCTACAGAACATGCTTAGAAACCCCCCACCCCTGAACATTATTATGAGAAACCTGTAGCAGATTCATCTCTCCTCCTTCTTCTGAGAAGGAACGGGATCGTACTTCATCAAATAGTGTCAAAATAGTGAACTGTTTTGCTAAACCGGATTAACATAAGGTTTGTTCTGTGTGTCTGTGTCTCTTTGTGTGTGTCTGTCCGTTTGTTTTTTTGGTTTTGCTTTCTTTCAGATCCTTTGTGAGATCTGGTTTTACTGAAATCTCAGAAGGCAGTTTTTTATTCACACCATCGCTGCAGCTCTTGTGAGAAATATTTATATCCTGACTATTTTTAATATAGCATGCATTTGGATAAGCCCTCTAGTAAAACCATCTCAATATTAATTTTGTCAAATGTGATTACATTTCTGCAGAGGAAAAGAATACCAGGAAAGTGAGAGGTAGATGGGTTTGTCTGCAACTTCACAACAACGGTGCAGGTTGATTCTTGCAATGGTACATTTGCTAACCTGTAATGCTATCTACTTTAATGGCTATTTATGAAGTTGTTGGAATGTTGCAACAATGAACTCAATTCCATTCCACTATTTTACTTTCATTTTTGACTTGGGAACTTTGGTTATTTTGCCCTGGAGTTTTTGAATGAGTCAATACAGAGGCCAGCATAACATATGCACTCAAGATGTTGTCTCCCGGGGATGTGGGGCAGGCTGCACCCCTGTATGATTTACCATGTGGGAAAAAAAACCTGGGTTCTTTCTAGGTAATTCCTTAAAATACTAATTCTCGAGAGACTGTTTTCTAATCTCATCTAATTTATAGCTAGTCCCCTTACAAGGAGGGAAAGAAAATATTAATATAGGATAGTGCAAACGATTAATCTTTGCTGTGTGTTTTGAATTAGCCATGAGGGAACCACATATTCAGTCTATGTCTCAAAATACTCAAAAAATAATATTTGACTAAGAAATCAGATCTCTCCACAGGCATAGTGTCACACATATAATTTGTTCTGATGTGTAATGTTTGGCAGTTGGTGGGCTGGTTCTTAGAGCAGGACCACGTGGGGGTCAAGAGGTCTCCCGGTACTCGGGTGTCAGGCAACAGATTGCGCTTGTAGTTACCCGGGTCCAGGAGGGAATTAGGCAATTGTCATTCAACTGAGTTTTGGTTATCTTAACTGCATGATTCAGGACCCAAGTTTTTTGCTTGTTTGTTTTTTGTTTTGTTTTCTTGCCTTAATTGGCCGTTATGGCTGTTGGAGATTATATACACACAGAGGCAAACAGCATGGATTCGAAATGGGAGAGACCCGTGTGTAAACCTCACCCCACCAGTCACTAGAAACTAGACATGTAACCTTGTGCACATGACTAAATCTCTCTGAGCCTCAGTCTCCTCATCTGTAAAATGGAGGTGATAACACATTGAAGGGTTGTTATCAGAAATAAATAAGATTTTAGTAAACAAGATGCTTGGCATAAGGTATGACAAACGGTTACACGTTTTGCAAATGGTAGAGTTTTAAATTTTTACAGAAAGCTCAAAAAGCATTTAATCGATTGTTCTGTCTATATGTAATCCCAAAACTGGTTTAACTATTTCATTGAATTCACAAACCTGATCAGGTGTTTTGACATTATGTAACAATGTTGGCTAATGTCCTTCTACTAGCTAATGTCTTTGAGTGATTAACAATTGAGTAGAATATTCCTAAGGGATTTATCTGTTTGATTGATGGCTAATGGTGTGATTTGGGGGAAGTGTTAGCACATCAAACAAATCCGAAAAACATAGTCTTTAGCAGGTAAAGCAGTGAACTCTCCAGTGCTAAGATCCTTCCATAGGATAAGAATTGGTTGTATCTGAGAAAGTGATAAATTGTGCTTATGTTGTTCATTTGTTAAGTAAATAAATGGCTCATTTAAAAAGCATCCTTTTGATGAGCTAAGCTGCCTCTCTCTCCCCAAGGATAGTTAACTAGATCAGTCCTTGAAATTCAAGAAGTGTCAGTCGACACATACTACTTATATTCCAACACTAGATGATTAGCTGTGACACAGAGAGTCTGGACTGATCAAGCTAACCAGTTAGCACATGTCCACTTTGTTATTGTTGGGTGGACCCAGCCTTGGCAAGCACAGACGCTGGACAACGCTATAGAAATAGTTACCGGCTGCTGCAGAGCAATGTGATTACACGTATTTAGAATCACAGAGGGAAGCCAAGGAGCTGGTTTTTAAATAGCCCACACTGAGTGTGTGCCATGCCCCTATGTCCCATGCTCTGAGTTCCTATGGAACATTCCAGGCCTTATTTCTAAAAGCAGTTCAGGTTTCAGAAATAACAAAAGGACGAGTAATTCTTGCCCTGCATGTCCTTACTTAAGTCACATTGGTAACCTCAACATGGCAGATTTGTGCCAGAGCTGACGTTGTTCAAAATTTTCAGGAGTCAAAGTTTGTCTCTAATCTCCAGGACCCTGTTTCCTAAAGATTTTGCTCCCCATTCTTTCTGCCCAATGTTCTCTGCTTCCTCCTGTCCTCAGAAAAGGGTCTAATAAGCTCATTTTCACTGAGGAGGAAATAAATGATAAGGCTGCAAATATAAACTGTGCCATAGTCATAACAGTGGTGGGAATGAATGGTTCACGGACAAGAGTTCTTCCGTGGGACAGGGCCATCCAGTGCCCTGAAAACCCAACACGGGCTGCCAACCCCTCATTGGAATATGACGACCAAGGGGCCTGAATTTGCCTTTATATGACTTTTGCCTCAGGCCAGGCCTGGATCACACCAGCCATTGCTTGGGGTTTGCAAGGTGTTCTAACGACATTTGAGACCACAGATTACCAAACTGATCTGTCATATCCTGTGAAGAGAGAAACTTCAGAATCAGTCCTGCTTGGTCTATGTACAAAGGCAGTTGGTTTCTTGCTCTGTTGTTGAAAAGAGAAAAGAAACGACCCATTCCGATCATCCACCCTAAAAATCTGATAATTTCATTATGGCCCCAAATGGTTTTTCAGACCTTCTGCAGAGGCATGATGAGAAGTACTTTTTGAAATGTCAGCCCAGGGTACTGAGGAAAACAGTTGCAATGCCTCCTTAAGTTACATACAGTGTTTTGGGGGAAAAGATCCTGGTAGGCTGTGTCTGGCAGTGTGTGTTGGAGAGCAAGAAAAACAAAGCCCACACTCTGTAGAGGGAGGAGTAAAAGAATAAAATTGTCCAACAAAAATTCATCAGATTAGTGGTACAAAACATATTTTTAAAAAAATATCTCACTTATGGTTTTAGACAACAACAAAACCTTTTCCAAGAAAATGCAATTTCATTCATGTTTTCCATAGGACCTGTTGTGAAACAACCAATGAGAGGGATTGATTCATTCTGGTTTGCTTTTGGTGATGGGGCGTGGCGCTTGTAGTGAATGCAATTTACAGAAATGTGTTTTCACACATTACAGCCCTATTCTTCCCACTGCAGACAGGAATTAACAATGACACAGGCTCATTGCAGAATTAAATTCAAATTTAAGAGTGTAAAATGTGGTCCCGTTGCCATTTGTTTATAAAATTTTTAATAAACTAAATCCCTCCAACTCTCTTAGGAGAGTTCTATTTGCAGCAAGTAAATTACAGTGTTGGTTTTAGTACCATGCTGAAAAAAGAGAAATCTATATATAAGAACTCAATGTGGCCAGAAAATAAATTCTATTTATTCCAATGAAATTCGGTCTTGTTTGAAGCGATGGAATAGATCCCTCTGGGGGGAAATATGTCATTATGTCTTTTATTAATCCACAGTCAACATAAACGTACATAGTTCACAAGAAATCAATAACTAAAAACAGGTTGCAAAGCAAATAGCATGAACAAGGTAAATATTAAATCCATCCTTACAGAGCTTTTACTGTTTAGTCTTTCAAAATGTTATCTGTCTAGGAAAAAATACTCCTGGCTTATCTTACCTTTACAATGATCGGCATCTTTTTTCTGTTCTTCCTTATATTACAAGTGTAAGAAAAATTTAGCAACCCTCAATGCCTTTTCCAGCCAGACCCATTAGCTAAGAGGGCTTTTAGAGGAATTATTAGCTGGTTTGGTTTGTGGCCAGCTGATGCCCCCACAATGGACTGAGAAGTAAAAGCTTCAGTCATCTAGGCTGTTTTGTCTACAATTGGCCCAATGACCCATAGCTCTGATTTTAACTTTTTAATTTATTTTTGTAACTATGCAAACCAACCATGTACAACAACTTTTTCTCTGAAAGCATATTTCATCCTCTCAATTATCCAGGCAAGAAACTTAAGAATTACCTGCCCCTTCTCCCTCACTGTCCACTTCCAACTAGACAAGTCCCCTGTCAAACAGCATGAGATTCTGCCACCTCCTCTTCACCCCGGGGCCAAGGCCCTCACTCAGGCTGCAATAACTGTTTCACAGGCTGCTGTGGGAGCTTCTGCACTGGTCTTCCTGCTTCCAGTTCCCATCCTGCCCACCTCCATTAGTGCCACCATCCCGAAACACAGATCTCATCATGGCAGCCTTGTGCTGGAAGCCTTTAATGGCTCCCTAGAAAGAAAGAAAATCTGAAAATCTGAGTTGGTATTAATAGAATTTGACTATTTGTTGGGGGCCATCTCTCACAGTATTGATACCACAAACACACACACACACACCCCTCCCAAGCTCCGTCCACACCAGATTGAAGTACCTCATTCCCTGACCTCTGTCTGCTTAGCCTCCATAGACTTTTCTGATGTCTCTAGTACTTTCTGCCATTTATTAGAGCTATCTGTGCTTGTGTCTGCCCCATGTGTCTCATAGAGGGTCATCAATAGCCAAGGTCCTAGAGAACAGCCTGGATGTTTAGGCCTGGACGTTGCTTACTATCTATTTTGTCAAATTCAACTCATGTTTTCGTAGACTTTATACTAAAGACTCCTATTTTACTATCAGTAGATAGTCCTGGTCATATTCACACTCTTTCTTATGGTGGGTAGACCCTATCAGATTTCACATGAACTAATAGTGTGGAGGTCTAGAAAGTGAGCTGAACCCAAAAAAATATGAGGAGATATTTGTTCATGACATTATGACTTCAAACTTCTTCCACAGAGATTTCCAGTGTTCTGGAACTTAAATGGCAAAGCATCCAAACCCTTTCCTCAGACCCATTGCCTGAATCTCTTTTGTCCCACTCTAACTTCCTCTTGGTCTTTGATGTGTAAAAAATCATATTTAGGCTCTTAGGTTCTTCATTTGACTATGGAGGCTGACTAATCTCTCTCTCTCTTTT